AGTCCCCATTACCTGTAAAGCGCTTTGAGTGGAGTGTCCAGAAAAGCGCTATATAAGTGTAAGCAATTATGAATTATTATTACTCTGTATTACTTAAATATCTCATGAACAAACATATTACATGACACACATATTACTGTGTGATGCTGTTTTCAGCAAACTGTGCTATACTGGAGAAACCAGTTCAAGTTCCTGAAATACCATGAGTTGTGTTTCTCAAGCTGTTTATGGGCATGGGGATACAGCTTTGCCTTGAATTCCCATGGGCTTCTGGGAGATGATTAGTCACCTCCCTTAGCGACCCCTGTTGTCTGGGTCCAGCAGAGCTCGCAGTCTTTCTGCAATATGGAAAGGAGCGAAAGCAGATTTCAAACACATCAATATGTGGCAGAATTCTGTTTCCCATAGGCTGCCTGTATGTATCAGATTGAAAGCCACTGCCAAGTACTGGGTGTTGTTTATGGTCAAATTTTTTTCTTTACTTTCCCCTCTGTGAGGTGTGCGAGGTATACTGCATTCCTTCATACAATAGGTAGTTGATGTGCACCAAGATCTCATTAGCAGGAACTTGCTTGATTGCTTTCAGTTTAATACAGGCTTTTCATTTACATTTGATGTAAATCAGAGGTAGTATTTGCATTAATTTTCTGTATTGCTATCAGAGAATGTTTACCTTTTAGTCAGTGTAAGGTACAGTCCACACGGTAAATGAAATTACAGGAATGAATGCACTTTTTTACATTTTGTTTTTCAAAAATGTAATATATAAATGTATTCAGGTTCCAAAATGTTTGGGACCACAGTTTCCTTTAAATCTTTCCAGCTGGATTCAAACAGACTGCCCTTTAAATTACAGATGCCATGGCAACCATGGCAAATGGGACATAATTGGCTATTTTTTTCAGCGCCCTGAAATGCATTGTGTCCTGGTAATTTTCTGTTTACAGAAAAAAAAAACCAACCAAAAAGGGGTTTTTTTTTCATACTGTAGATTTTTTTCTATTGAAATTCACACTCACCAGTGTCGGGCAGCATACACGCTCTGCTCAAATCTCCTGACAAAGATAGAAGGTGGGGGATGGGAGAGCTGAGCTGACAGTTGGAAAGCTCTTCCATTTGTAACGGGCGTGCCGTCAGAGGCTTTGCATGAAATACTGCCTTAGGATCACTTTTGGGGGAAAGAAGAACTTCTCATGGAAATGGCCTCCCAAGGTCACTGAGAAGAATAATCACTCAGTTTTTGTTTCACCAGTAACATTAAATAATACGGAATGATAAGGGGGGAGACTGCTGCATATAAGTATAACCCAATCCAGAATCTACCTTCATGAAAATATATTTCCTGGAAGAGTGTGAGAACCGTGTTTTGACCTGCTTAGACTATAATTTAGAAAGGGGAAACCAGAGGCTGGATGTAAAGGGAGGGAGCAAGACAGGGAGTGTAACACATACTGTATTTCCCGACCGAATCTGGTGTTTTTCTGCTCCTCCACTCTGAACATGGCTCTCCAGCAAGCCGCCTCGTGAAACCAGCAGCATATCTGAGGGTACTCACTGTCTGGAAATAAGAAATACCCTGTACTGCACTCTAATTCCAGCTTATATATCAAGGCAACGCGTTACAGAGTCTGCTTCTTCCAAATGCCTGCATTTCACCTTTCATTTACTGCCTTATATCCTCAGCATCTTAATGTGATCGTAGAGGGGTTTTTTTTCAAAGCATTCCTCCTGGCTTCATGCCTGTCTGTAGCACAATTATTTTAATAAGAGATCATTCTTCAATCTTAAATCCCATGTTTCTGAATGTCTTTTGAAACATTCTCGTTTTTTTTCAGCTGCTCAATCCTGGATTTTTGTCAGCTACTTATTATATTATTTGTTATATAAAATTGTTGGGGATTGCCTGTTTTTACACAAAATTCTGCTCTTCTGACATTTAATATGGGAACCTAGTATTAATAATGATATACATCTTATTTTACTGATACTGAGTGTGTTGTTAGCTTGTAAAGCTTACTTAAAGCAAGTACAATGATTCCTATTCAGACATTAAAAAGTGAAAACAAACCAGGAATTTCCTCAAGGAAATTGTGATACAGAAAGCTTGAGTATTTGAAGTCTTAACCATGGCAACAACAGGCAAGACTCCTTGAGTATCTCAAGACAGCTGTGGATGCTAACCCAGATGGAAGAGAAGCCTGAATCTGTAATAATAGCAGAGTTCTGTTTCACAGAGCAGCTCACTCATTGCCCTTAACAGATAAACTGTGAAAATTCACCCAGCCATTTTACTCCACAGAGCCTTGAACTCCATTTTATCTAGATCCAGTCAGGTTTCAAACCCTGAAATATTGAATTCCATTATTTGAGTTTCTTAATCCATCTTATGACGTTGATTATTGAAAATTTTTACTGCCCCCATATTATTAGTTATTCTACTATTATACTATATTATTATACTATAAATTGAGGATCACTAGTTTATTTTTTTCAATTTCCAATTATTTTTCCCATTCTAAAGCAGGGACACAGATCAGACCTTGAGGATCCCTAGTCATCTTTTGAACTTTGATCTTTAATATTTAATTATCTGGATACAAAACCACATCACCTGTTTTCTAGGTCTTAAGAACATAAAGCTTAATGAGCAGGAGGAGACAATGCAGCTCATCTGTAGTCAACTGTCATCCATTTGGTAGTTAGTATCTCATTGATCTGAGGATCCCATCCGGTTGGTTTATGGCTTCAACAACATGACAGGAAAGGTTGTTCCAGTCTCCCACAACCCTTTGTGTAAAGAAATTCCTCCTGTTATCAGTTGTAAATGCACCCTTACATAGTTTCCACTGTTGTGTCCTCTGGTTACTGTTTAACTGCTTATTTTGAAGAGATTCACTATGTTGCCTTTGAGGATTGAGAATACTTCCATCAGCTTGCTTCATATACTTATCTGTTCAAGACTACAAAGACTACAAAATTGTACGTACAACAATTTTTAACCACTTCTTCCCATTCAGGGTGACAGGGGAGGCAGAGCCCATCCCAGCATGCAACAGACTACACCCTGGACAGGATGCCAGTGCATTACAGGGCAAACAGACACAAATACAGACACAGACATGCACACACCAGCACCAGAGCCACTTCCCAGTGAGGGTGTCCTGCCAGGAGGAAACCCATACGAACACAACGAGAACATACGAACCCCACACAGATAGCAGATAGGAATTGAAGTCAGGGCCCTAGCACTGCGAGGCAGCAATGTTAACCACTGTAACTCTGTTACCCACAGAATTGTACATAATGTTCTAAATGAGGTCTTGCTATTGTGCA